ATTCACCACTTATGCATGAAGTTCCCTACCGAGAATGGTATTGCCACGGTTCCGGGAGATCAAAGAGGAGCCAGGGAATGCTACTCCAATTCCCTAAGGAAAGCCGAACTAAGAACGCTAGTCATAATCACTGACATCGATATGGACGACATCCCTGAACAAGGGGAAGACGTCCTCATGACTGATGCTCTTGAAAAAGAGACAGTTGTTGAAGAAGCAACCAGTTTGGACTAACTGGATCCTCGTATTATTGATTGCGAGCTGCAAACAGCCCCCATGGAGGAGCTAGAAACTTATGCTGCCGATCCCATGGACCCAACGAAATGTCTGTAGGTAGGAAGCAATCTACCACTAGAAATGAAGGAGAAGTTGAAAAACTTCTTGTGTAGAAACCTCGATATATTCGCCTGGAAACATGGCGACATGATAGGCATTGATCCGAAGATCAGCTATCACCATTTGAACATCGACCCAAAAGCCACGGCTAATAGGCAAAAGAGGAGAGCCCTCAACCCAGAAAGATACGAAGCCCTTAAAGATGAAGTGAAAAAATGAATTGATAATGACTTCATCAGGGAATCCATGTATCCGAAGTGGGTCTCCAACCCCGATCTGGTAAAGAAACATAACGGGAAGTGGATGGTATGCATCGATTTTTCAAATCTGAACCAAGCATGTCCCAAGGACAGCTTCCCACTTCTTAGGATAGATCAGCTAGTGGATTTGACAGCTAGACACGAACCTCTCAGCTTCATGGACGCCTACTCAGGCTATAACCAAATTCCTATGTTTCCACCTGATGAGGAGCACACTTCCTTCATCACTGATAAAGGATTGTACTATTACAAAGCTATGCCTTTCGGCCTGAAGAATACTAGGGCTACGTACCAGAGGCTGGTTAATAAAATATTTTCCGACCTTATTGGCAAGACCATGGAAGTATATGTGGATGACATGCTGGTAAAAAGCCATAGATCAGCAGACCACATTGCCCACCTAGACGGGACGTTCCAGATCCTGCGAAGGTATCGGATGAAACTCAATCCCTTGAAATGTGCGTTCGGAGTATCATCCAGAAAATTCCTTGGTTACATAGTTAATCAACGAGGCATCAAAGCAAACCCTGAAAAGGTCAGAGCTTTGATTGAAATGAGGTCACCTCAGAAACCAAAGGAAGTGCAAAGCCTCACTGGGAGAGTAGCGGCTCTAAATCGCTTCATCTCCAAGGCAATGGACAAATGCCTCCCCTTCTTCAAAATTCTTAAAGGGGAAACAAGTTCCGATGGACAGAGGAATGTGAGATAGCCCTCCAGGAATTAAAAAAGCATATGGGTCAGGCTCCTCTTTTCTCCGAACCAAAGAACCATGAGGTATTACGTTTATATTTGGATGTAACCCCCGAGGCAGTAAGTTCAGTGCTAATCAGGGAAGAAGGCGACCATCAGCTACCAGTCTACTATGTCAGCAAGGCACTCCTCGCCGTCGAAACAAGATATCCCGACATAGAAAAACTGGCCTTCTCCTTAATAATTACTTCAAGGAAGCTAAGACCCTATTTCCAGGCTCACAGTATACATGTGCTAAGCAGTTATCCCCTCAAGCAAGTACTCCAAATGCTCGATGCTTCAGGAAGGTTATTGAAATGGGTGTTGGAGCTTAGTGAGTTTGACGTACA